ACATCCCCATCGTCTTCAACCCCAGAGATTTGCAGTCCAAGCTCAAGCCTTAGCTACCCGCCAAGGGCGGTTCGGTTGCTAATCCCGACCCGCAATCCTCTTGTCACAGCTAAAAGCGCAGAAGAGGATGAGCAAAGGTACACAGGGGCGAACACAGGAGAACAATCAGACAGAGCAAAGACCAGCACCGCTACCACATTCTCTTCAGAACGAGATATGCTGGAGAAAAGAAACAAGGAACTTAAACATGATTACCTTGAGCACAAGACTAAAAAAAACAAAGGTTATATGAGTGAAAAAGAGGTTGAAGGTGGCGGCCCCGCTATTAGTAGTCAAGGCGCTGGCGATGTTGTATCATCTAGTGGGAGTATTCACGACAATGCCTTGGTTGGCGACTGCAGGCCAGATTTCGAAACTGACCATCCACAAGTATCACGACAGGAGATGATGCCAAGTAACTGGCCGCTCGCTTTGAGCGAAATAGACCAACTAGACACACTTGTCGAAGCAGGCTCTGAGGCCTTTCAAGCAAGAGCCCCGCTAGCTGACAAAAAAAATTGGTAAATATTCAAAAGTCAACCGAAGTAAAAATAATCTTGAACTAGTTGGTCTAGCATTGTAACTCGTCTCATGCAAGGTAATAGTGAAAGAAGGGGTTTGATAAGGGCGGAACATATTTAAAGTTTTATACATATTAATATGGCAGGAAGTAATAAGTAGTCGTATATATATATATATAGAAAAAGCCTGCTTTTCAAAGTTTTAATATTGCGGCACTCAATTAAATATGGTTGTTTTTTTTACGAAACGCATTGACAATTAAGAACCATAAATGAAAGCAAGCAACAGGTAGAAAGGATGTCAGTGAATGTAAATAAGAGACCTGAAAGAACCACTCCCCTGTTTTCCTATACATAATTATGCTTAGTTAGTGGGCGAATATATGATAGGTGACGTAGTGCAGATGGTGGAGCAAGCCCATAGTCAGTCATTCGACTGATTCCCATATTTCGCATATTACCTGCATGCACCTACATTTGACTGATTACTCAAGTCAGTAAATCAAGTTTATTACAATGGTCGTTCTTGAAATAAGCTGTGATAATCCAGCTAGACTAAGCAGTAGCGCTAAAAAGCTACTTATTCCGATGAAATGGATTTTATAAAAATATGTTAGCATTTTCTATTTAGACTGAGCCGAATGGAGTATGGGTTAGAGTACAATCCACAGTAACTGATGATGAACTATAAATGGGAGTTTAAGTTCAGGTGTATAATACACCTAAATATGGAAAGGGATGTTGACAGACGTTACAAATTAAATGAAAAACTATCAAATACTTTGATTTAAATGTTCTTTAAATCGGCCATTAAGGGAACTACTCCAGACCCGAGATCATACTATTTGTTTGCAGCTTTAATCTGATGTTCCTTTGCCGATACCAAGAATTTTTTAGACACTACTTACCCTCTTGTTATAATTCCTTATTGTGAATATCATAACAAACAACATACCCGAACTTGTATCACTTTGTCATAAATGCTACTTATAATATGCACTAATTTTGTGAATCAAAATCTACTTTAAAGACATTGCTTTATAAAGACTGTCTCGATACTTAGTACGCAAGACAATCGAAGCCTAAGAAAATGTTAAGAAAAGTAAACCTATTTTTTACGAAGGCCTAAGCATGTCTCAGTTTTAGTTAAGCTTCTTATATGGCCAATAAGCAAGACAATCCAGAGCTTAAATGCTAAGTAATCTAAAGGGGTACCAGAATTTAAAAAAAAGATAAAGTACTATTCTAAAAAGTGAATAGTATCCATTTTGGAGCCACAAAGATCTACAGTAGATAAAGTGAGAACAGACGGGAGAGGATTGGCAGCAGTTAGACATCAAACTTAAGAAAATTAAAATAGCCCAGAAAACTCAAACCGACAGGACAGATTTTCAGTTTATCTGAACACAGATTATTTAACTATTAAAGTATCCAACATAAAAATTTTGAATAATTCTGTGAATGGAAATAATAAAATTTTTGCTAAAATTGTATATTAGAAGGGCGCATTGAACTGTCCCATTGGAATTAAATGCCAGCAGGTGAAATAATCTTCAGCACTTACTTATTTTTATATATGGGTTTTATTACTATTTTGCAAGCACGAGATTAAGAGTTTGACTAGATGGCAGTTACGATCAAAAATTTGCTGTATTCCAAAATAATATAGATGACGGATTTCTAAGAATCTCTGAGTAGATTGATGCTAGCATATCTTTGATATTGTTTTGAAAAAGCGAGTGGAGGGGATTCATAAATTTGTCTGCACAAAAGTAATAAAGAGGTCCTGCATAGGATCATTGTAAATAATAGGGGTTATGTAGTACATAAAAAATCATAATTTATGTCGTCAATAAAGCAAATCACAGGTTTGGGGATATTTTC